TTAAATCGTTCAACGCATTTTCATACCGTTGTAACCGGAAATACATCTCCGCCCTCAATCCTAATCCCAATACGTTATCCGGCTCGTTCTCCAACGATTTAGTTACATCATCCAATGCATTGCTGTATTGTTGTAGTGCAAAATACTTGTCTCCTCTTACTCGGAATCCCAATGCAGGATCAATCTCCGATAGTCTGTTAAAATCACCGAACGCACGATCATATTCCTCAAGTAATAGATAGAGTTCTCCTCTTAACCTCAACGCTTGGACAGTATTTGGTTCAACCTCCAATACTTTGTTAAAATCATTTAACGCATAGTCGAACTGATTGAGCATGGCGTAAATCTCTCCTCTTAATGTCAACGATGACATATCCTCTGGTTTAATCGCCAAACATCTGTTGATATCAGTCAATGCTTTGTCGTATTGATGCAAATTCCTGAGGTAGAGTTCACTTCTTGTCCGCAATGCAAGAGCGTCATCCGGCTTGATATCCAATAATTTATTAAACTCACGATGGGTTACATCTTTCGGGCTCAACTCATCATCAGATTCGATCTTCAATGATTTCGAAAATTTACTCGGTAAATGTTTGTAGTCATCAACGTGCGAACACTGGGCTGAACTATCTTCCATCTTTAGCTCAAATAGCAACTCCAGGTTTTTATAGACATCTTCGCAAGTTGGTCGTTTCTCCGGATCCTCATCACAACAACTAGAATATAGCTCGATATAACCTTCGGGAGTTTCGAAAAAAGATTTGCCTTTGCTGTTGCCCGATCCACATATAACTTCACCGTTAGAAATCTCCTTTAGTATTAACCCGAGATTGAGTATGTCAGATTTTCCCCCATGTCGACTACCAAATATTGACTCGGTGTACGCATTGCTGTATTCACTTCCCGACGGAGAGTTACGTAGATTGGGAGGATCAAAACCAGAAATCTTTGCAATACCTTCTTGAATGAAAACTTTAGAAGAAGACTATGTGTTATGTAAATATACGAGTCAGTGACATGGTCAAATATGTACAAAAAACCGATGGTATAGAATCACTGCAAAAGCAATACCAAATTCCTATGCATAATCTTAATCTCATGTAGGTATTTCAACCCACTAGTGACATTCAAGCCTAGCATACATCTGTCGTTCCATGTTAGGCGATCAGACCATCTAGTCAAATATTCACGTAATGTTCCACCGTCAGCATATTCGAAAATCGTATAGTACCGAGCGGAAGCATCTATCGTTGATAATTGAGTAAGTCGCAATCATTCCCCTGTAAGCGGCAATAGGATCAGTATTATATAAATATACCAAAATATAAGCCCAAGAATCGAATAATATTTGGATGATCATCCACCTTCTTGTAGTTTATTAACTAAAGAAACCAGATCGGACCCGATTAGTTAATATGCAATTCATCTAGAATAAAGTCAGTAACTAAACAAGCAGAAAACCCAAATGTAAACCTCTTTGATAAATGGTTTATACAGTTCTTCCTTATAATCATGTCGATTTATGGACAAAGATTTCATTATAATAAACATTCCAGAATGTTTCAGTTTTGCTTTAAAGTAACCACGGCTAACGGTTGCGCAATATTGTATATCGCTGTCTGAATAGCATCTGATTAGCCCCTCCTTAATGCGTTTGTCAAGCCAAAATTTATACGTATTATCGGGCGCTTTGCTACGAGACATCGTTAGATGTGCGGAGGGGGAAAAGACGGGCAGGAACTGTCAGCGGGCTGAGAAGAAAATAAGGGCGGGACAAATGTATCGGTGCGACTTATATTATTTTACTTGTGTGACGTATCTGGACATTGCGTCACCCGAGATAAAAAGCTCATTCTTTGCTTGCAATTACAATTCCGGAATGTTGCAGAGTGTATTCTTGTCTATCAATAGCTTGAAACGAAAAACGATGATGAAGACAATAAGACAATGTTCGAGGTTTTGACCAAAATACTAGCTACTGTAAAGTATATCAATTA